CACAAGTGGGGGTGCGGAGGGGAGCCAATCTAGGGTCTAGACCGCAGATTCTGCTCTCCAGGAATTTGCTGTTTTCAGCTCACTGAGAGTGGGGCAAGTGCAGGAATATTGATTGCTGGTAAATGGTCAGTATGTTCTGTCCTCCTCATCAAAGACCATACAGGAAGTCAGTTGGCAATCAAGTGTGTGCTTATAAGTGTGGAGTCAGTGCTGGAGGGGGCAGGAAGGCTGGAGTAGCTTAGGTCAGCCAACCTGGGGCTGGCTGTGGGCCGCCAGTTTGGTGAGCAGAGCCCATTGTCCCGAGTCCTGGCTGACAAGGCTGTCTTTCCTGCTTGCACAGAGCTTCAAGGGAGTGTCAATAGCCTCCCTTGTGAAAAAGAGAACAAGGAGCTTGCAAGGTCAGAGTGGTGGAGCATCCTGGGAGTCGAGCCTGTGGTCGTTTCCAGGTTATTCTAATTTTCCTTCTCTGTCCATATCTCTCCCTTTGATCCTGGGTATTTATCATCATCTTCCCTCTCAGGTCATACTGAAGCTGTTGTCAACAGGCTTCCTGTGTGTTTTACCCTTTAAAACACTGGCCCAAGCTCAATATCAGACCTATTTCTATTACATTCCCGTCACAGGTGAGATCACCCGGAACATTCAGTGTGCGTCTTAGTAAGAGAAAGCTAAAGGAGAACAAATACATACTGAAACTATAAAAGTGTCAGGCCACTGCGGGGCTAGATTCTGTACCTGAGCATGGTGTAAAATGTTGAGAAATCAAAACCAAACAATTAATCACAGCCAGGTTAAACAATGACTTCATCTTTTAAAGCAATGAACTGAGAATTGCCTCTTTCTACGGCTGGGGGTTGTTGTTGGTGGAAGTCTCCAAGAGGTGCTTAGTGGGTCCAGGTTCTTAAGTGCAAGGCTTCTGCAGTGATGGGACCACCAGGCCCTGGCTGATTTTGTGCAGAGAAACCTTGTGGAACCTGGGATCAATCCGGTTGGCCATGTGCAAGGCAAATGCCCTCACCCCTATCTCTGCCCAAGAATGATATTTGTTTATTTTTGGATTTTGGGCCATACCCAGTGGTGTTCACCAGGCAACCAAAAAGCTTATATATCCCTGATGAGCCCTGGTTTACTTTTGAAAATGACTGATCTCAAGAAATATAGTCTTACATGAGAAATACATATTCCATGGCTATAGTACTAATCCTGGCATTGCCTTTGCTTTCTGGGGCATTTCACAAAGCCCAGAATGTGCTGATGGAAAAATCCATGTGTCAGAGTCAGAAGGATGACTTTTTTGGGGGTTCTTTTAAATCAGAGTTCTTCAGCTCTTTTACACCCATGGCTGACACTTCTGCACATCGGTTCAGAGACTAGCATTTTGACTAAGCAGTAAACCAGTGCCTTTCAACCTTTTTTCTTTGATCACGATTTTAGGATATCATTAAGGTTGCATTTTTAAGTGACAGAATGACAGTACAGTGGGCAGGATGATTGCCTTACCTGTGGCCAGCCTGCGTTCAACCCCTCCACACTACATATGATCCTCTGAGCCCCCTTAGGCAGAGCCAGGAGTAAGCCCTGAGATCTGATGATTGTTGCCCAAAGACCAAAGGATAAAAAGAATGCATTTAAAAAGAGAATAGTTTTCGATCAATTGCAGCCATTATAGATCTCCATATTGTTCCATCTTTCATCAGTATTAGCTTATGTAAGTATTTCTCATGTCCTTTTGACATAATCTTTTTATCTTGGGGCACATCTGACCTTTCTGAGTTTGTCAAGGCGTTTCAAACTTGTGCATTTTTCGGGGTGGGATGGGGTGCAGATTTTGAATCAGTCATGACTTCAAGAAGGAGAGTGGGGAATGGGTCCGAGAGACCACAACCTTGTTGCTGGGGTGTTCATTGTTGCTAGATTGTATATGTATATATGTATACACTTTAAAAAGAAAAAAAAGATGAATTTATACTAATTTCTCATTTAATCATGCTACTACAGGATTGGCAAAACCTAATTTCCTTGGTTTCACACTGGTGACTTCTGTTAAATACATCGTGGTTGCATGCCATTAACTATTTGTTTTATCCTTAGTTGTCGTTCAAAATTATCACTGCCACTGTCATCCTATTGTTCATCTATTTGCTAGAGTGGGCACCAGTAACATCTCCATTCATCCCTGTCATGTGCTAGTGTAGCCCGATGGCATATTGAGGGCTCTTTCAGAGTCAGGAGAATGAGGACCATCATTGTTACTGTTTTTGGCATATTGAGTATACCATGGGTAGCTTGCCAGGCTCTGCCGTGTGGGCAGGATACTCTCAGTAGCTTGTTGGGCTCTCCGAGAGGGATGAAGCCTTTTGCTGCAGCCTCTAATCACCTTTACAGGTGTTCCCAGTCAGGCATATATGCGGGCAGGATACTTTCAGTACCCTGCCAGGTTCTCTGAGAGCAAAAACTAGAGAATCAGAGGTCATGTGGCCACAAATGCGGCTGCACACTTTTGGGAGCTCAGTTTTATAGTCTTTGGATCTTGGCTGTTGGTGTGATTACACAGCAGTTGGTGGGTGTAACTGTCTAGCTACTGGAAGATGGGGGTTCTGGGTGGAGGAGGCCTAGTCCCAATCCGAGCAGGCTTGGAGACCTTAGCCCCGGGTCCCGCACACCTGGGTTCCTCTGCCGGTTCCTTAATGTGTGAGGCTTGCCTGAGCATGTGGAGAGTGATCTTAGCATGGCTGTGGCTGGGTTCCAGAGGTCTTCAGCTGCTGGGGTTCTGCTCGGGGCAGGGAGGAAAACTCAACCCGTCCCCCTCCAAGGGGCTCTGGTGAGGACAACCAGGCGATAAATTTGGCATTAATTTTGGTGATAATTTTGGTGCCTGGCTGTTCAAAATTATAATGCATAAAAAATTTTAAATAGTACCAATATAAATAACAATAATACTACTGAATGATATACGAACTATTTTTGCAATTCTTTTTGATCTTGTAATAGATACCATCATTGATGTACAGGATAGTACTTCTCCTTCTCCTTCTCCTTCCTTGCTTTTTGGGTCATACCCAGTGATGCTCAGGGGTTACTACTGGCTCTACACTCAGGAATTATCCCTGACAGTGCTTGAGGGACCATATAGGATGCCAGGGATCAAGCCTGGTCCACCATGTACAAGGCAGATGCCTCACCTGCTGTACTATGGCTCTAACCCCAATACTGCTATATTCTAAAGAAACATTTTTTGTATTTATGTTTTTATCATTGCGATAAAGATTTAGGTTAATTTGTTTCCACTTCTTTTCAATTCTTAAGGGCTGGAGCGATAGCACAGCGGGTAGGGTGTTCGCCTTACAAGCGGCCAACATGGCCGACCCGCGTTCGATTCCTCCGCCCCTCTCGGAGAGCCCGGCAAGCTACCGAGAGTATTCGATATGCCAGACACAGTAACAACAAAGTCTCCAATGGAGACGTTACTGGGCCCGCTCGAGCAAATCGACGATCAACGGGAGGGCCTATCCTATCCTATCCTTCAATTCTTAGAGTTTTCTTTATCAGTACATTCATCTAATCTGTTATTCTTGTATCAAGACGTGTGCACACAGTGCATTGAAAAGTCTGTTTTGCATTCCTGTGTCTTCTACACAATTCTCCATGTAATGAGTTTTTAAAATAGCTTTTGGTGTATCTATCTAGTGTTTCTTAAGAAGGTAAGGTAAAGGTAAAGGCCCTCCCGTTGATCGTCGATTTGCTCGAGCGGGCCCAGTAACGTCTCCATTGGAGACTTTGTTGTTACTGTGTCTGGCATATCGAATACTCTCGGTAGCTTGCCGGGCTCTCCGAGAGGGGCGGAGGAATCGAACTCGGGTCGGCCATGTTGGCCGCTTGTAAGGCGAACGCCCTACTCGCTGTGCTATCGCTCCAGTTGACAAATAAGAAAACCTTCTTTGTAGTTTTCCCTGCATCTATTCCTTCTGAATTTCCATTTTCCACTGGTGTGTGGGAACCCAGGACCTCACATGTGCAAGGTAAGTGCTCCAGGCTAAGCCAAATCCAAACCCTCCTCCTTTATTTTTATAACTTATTTTTGCCTCCTCATTAATTTTATGATTAATATTTCATTGGTGAATGTTTAGTTTATTTTTATTTTTTGGCTTGGGGGCCACACTTGGCAATGCTCAGGGGTTATTCCTGGCTCTGCACTTCGTAATCACCTCTGGCAGTACTCCGGGACCATATGGGATGCCAGGGATTGAACCTGGATGGGCTGTATGAAAGGCGAGCGCCTGACCTGCTGTACCATATCTCTGGCCTCTAAATGCTGTAGTTTAAAAATGACTTTTAAAAAGAATGGTGATGATAACTTATTGTTCTGAACGACTGAAGTGTCTGGCTGGAGAGACGAGCCAGGTTATATTATAAATGGTTTATTCTAAAATAAAACTGCTCTTAAAAGGCAGCACTTTTCTTTTGTCTTCAAGTCTGTTCTTCCAAGAGAAACAACCAGGATTCATGCTTCCCAAGCCTCTCTAAGCTGCCAGCAAAGTGTTTTCCCAGTTGGGGCTGAAGCTTATCCTTCCGGGAGTCAGTCTCCGTGGGCAGCGCGGGCGAAGGGTCTAGCCGCGTGTCATGGTGGGCTGAGGGTGCCTTCCCACCTACCTCAGCTGCCCCGATGAGGTGGGCATCACCCGGCACAGGAGACTGGCCCCCTTAGGTACCCTCCTGCAGCACCCACTGCACCCCCTCTCTCCCCGGATCCTAGATTTTAGAAGCGAGGAAGGCTCCTGGCCGCCAGGAACTGTGGTGGTCCTTGCAGGGGCTCAGAGAGCTCCTGCCCCACCCCCCTCCCCGTGCAGGTGCGTGGAGCGGGCGCGGGTGCCTTAGGGCCGCCCGCCCGCGCGCGGTGATGCCGGGATTGGGGGCGGGAGCGCAGCCGCTTCCCAGCTCGCTAGCTCCCGCCCTTCTCCCCTCCCCGCCGCTCCCCTCCCCGGGCCCTGAGCGGCTCCGCGGCGGCTCCGCACTGCAGATGCCCGCCGGCCTCTGTGCTCGCAGCTCCCCGGGCTCCGCGTCCTCTCCCTGGCGCCGGCTGCGCTCGGGCCCCAGGGACTCTCACCGGGACGCGCTGATCGAGCGCTGCGCCCGAAGCCGCCACTCGGGCCGGGCCGCGGGGCCCCGGAGCGTGCCCCGATGAGGCAGGACAAGCTGACCGGCTCCCTGAGACGTGGGGGCAGATGCCTGAAGCGCCAGGGCGCTGGGGGAGGCGGCGGCAGTGGCGGCGGTGGCGGCGGCGTGGGCACGATCCTGAGCAATGTGCTCAAGAAGCGCAGCTGCATCTCCCGGACCGCGCCCCGGCTGCTCTGCACCCTGGAGCCGGGTGAGGACCCGGGGCTGCAGCGAGGGGGTGCGGGGGGCTTACGGGACTGGGAAGGAAGCGCGTCGCCTCTGTCTGGGCCCGGAGCGTCCACTGGTAATGGGGTGGGGGCCGGCGGGGGTGGGGGAGGTCGGGGAAACCACTCGGTTTGGTGCCGCGGAGCTCAGGAAAAAAAAAAAAGCCACAGGCAAAGATCTGGGCGGGGGCAGCGGCCTCCCAAGGTCGGGACCATCCGCTGCTCCTGCCTGCCCACCTTCCAGCTGGCTCACGCAGGGGGATCGGCCAGAACTGGGGTGTAATTGTGCTCCCGGGTTCGCAGAAAGCCAGACCTTAAAAGAGGTGTGTGAGGCAGAGAATGGCACACACTTGCTTGCTTGCTACTTAGGGTTGTCCGGGAGGCAGTGGCTGCAAAGCAAAACTCTAGTGCATTGCCGAGGGTCCCTGTGGCGTGAGTGACCGGTCAGCCCGGTCAGCTGGGTCTGGAGCGCAGCAGTGTATAGGTGTGTGCGCGCGCGCAGAGCGGGCGGGCAGAAAGCAGGGATGGCTCCCGGCAGGTAGAGACCTTCTCTTAGCTGCCGAGTGCAGGAACGCGCCAGGCCAGCCGTGCAAAGCTACCCGCCCCCCTCCCGTGTTTACACTTCACTGCTTCTCCGCGAGCTGCTTAACTCCACATCTGCTCCACCACCAGGCCTCTCTCCCCAGGGCTGGAGGAGCCTGGCCTGGGGCGGGTGCCTGTGCAAGGGGTGGCCGCTGAGGGAACTGACTGTGCTCACATCGCGCCTCGGCTCACCGGTCCCTGGAGTGGCTCCGGCTAAGTGCCCTCCCCCCTCATCTCCCTCCCTCCCCGCCTCCCAGTGCCTTGGGGAACCTGCAGGTCGGAGGGGGGGGGGGGGGGTCTGCCCAGGCTTTTAGTCCCAAAGGATAAAAGCGTCACTGCTTTTCCAACCTCGTGGTTTCTTTGTTTTTCTCCCCAAGGAAGTGTCTAGTTGCAGATCGGTAGTATTTATTCACTGTCTTCCTTTACTCCTTAAAACACAAACACAAACAAAAACCTTCCCCCTTAAGGAGTGTTTTGTATTTCTGGATCCAGAGCAGTGGTGATTATCAGATGAAACGTAAACCTCCCTTCCCTTATTCAGGAAGAAGAGGTGAAAATGACCTGATTTCAGCTTTTGCATGCAGGCGGCGGCAAATGATCAATCCCAGTTAAATGCAACCCCAGTTAAATCCGGTGACTCATTTTTTTTTTTTTTTTTTTTTGATCATGAGAAAAATAGTTTGTGGGTTTGAACTAACAGTAGCTAGGTTTCAGCGAGGAGAACAATATGACGCCCAGCAGGTGCTCTGCAAAAGTCAAGGGAGCATATTCGGCTTGATATGCAGGGAATCCGGGGGCTTTTAGGTGGGTGGAAATAAGTCAGCGCAGGGCCGAATTTCCTGGTCTTTGTTATAAAAGCAAGCCAACGTCATGCCTCTACGCGCCTCCATTCAGCACCCTGTATCTGGACAGCAACCTCGCCCGCGGCAGACTCATTATGCTTTCAGCCCTGCGCTCCAATGGGAAGCTCGCTCGTTGCCATTGTCCTGAGGCAGAACTTTCATTGAAAGCTTCTCTGTGGTGAGAAGCTCCAGGGCTACTTAATATACCATTGGGAAAGAAAAGCAGAAAAGCTACCTCTACAGGCAGACTACCTAGACACGCTTTTTGTTTTGAATCTTGTTTTGAATCCTCACCGGTCCCTGCCCACCCCCGCCCACCCCTGACTCCTGCCTCTGCTGTAGGGGCCCCTCCCGACCTTGACATTATCAACTCCTCCTGTTCTGCCTGGAGATTTGGTAGCATTGGGCCCTTGGCTTAGCCTGAGGGCTGCCAAGGCACACCCTGACTCTGGAGGTGGGAGGTGGAAGAGAAGGTGGCCTGGCGCTTGGAGAGGAAATATTCAGATGTTGATTGGATAGATGCCTAGGAGTCTCTACCACAGCCCTACTTGAAAATCAGCTCAGGTAGTCACAATGTTTCCAGGATTCCGAGGAGGGCTTCTTACTCTCCTGTTGGGCGAGTGAGACACATCACATCTCTTTCCAGCTTCTTGACTCTGATTTTAAAAAAGACAAATCTGCTTTATTATTATAATCTTACATATTCTGTTTCCACTTATAGATCAATTCTGTTCTGAACAGTGGAAGTTGTAGAGATGTTTTCATCATGCCTATCACATTTCACTGCATAATCAGTGCAGATTTTATGACCAGTTTCTTTTGCAAAAATGTGGGGTGTGACCATGATGTGATGCTTTTAAACAAATTGTGCCCGTGTTACTTAAAAACAGGGCAGGATGATTATGCGGTAAGATACAGTCATCTGCAATCAACATCTTACAAGCACAACAGCATAAACAAGAAGCTAGAATTTGAAAACTGAATTTTATTGATAATATTAGGTATATCTTGGTCCAGGAGCTTTTAAGTAATAAAACCTTTAAAAAGGTGATTTCAAATTTTATTTCATTGATTTGAAATTATAGAAAGAAAATTTATTGCATTTTCAGATTTAGTTATATTATTTTAAAAATATATTTTAACTGAGAACAAACGTTGCCTAATATTTTCACTTCAGAAACATCACTGTCACTGTTCTCCTATTGTTCATAGATCAGAAACATCACATACTTCTAAGGTTCTAAATAAAGCCCAACATGACTAGTAAGCTTATAGCCTTATGTTTTTATTCATTTACTTTATAGGTTTGGAGTTTATCTAAAGCAATATACTAGAATTTGAGCTTTGTAACCTATAAATAAATACACTTTTATATTTAATGAATATTTATACAAAAAAAGAATTTAAAGGTATATGAACACCTACAAATAGAATTGCTTAAATAGATTAATCCATGAGTGGGATATTATTTTCATAAGGTTCTAAGGTATATTGGCCTAGAAAACAAATTTCTTACATAGAGAGTAAGTTTTACAAATTAAAAAAATTGGGTCGGGGCACACGTGATATTGCTTAGGGGTTTCTTCTGGCTCTATGCTCAGAGTACACACCTGGTGGGCTTGATGGACCAAATGGGGTATTGAACCCAGGTTGACTACATGCAAGGCAAGCATCTTATCTGCTGTCGTATCTCTCCGATCCAGTTTTACAAATATTTTGAAGACTATGCTAGGTCTGCAGCGATAGCACAGTGGGTAGGGTATTTGCCTTGCACGCAGCTAGCCCGGCAGAACCGAGTTTGATTCCTCCGCCCCTCTCTGAGAGCCTGTCAAGCTACCAAGAGTATCTTGCCTGCATGGCAAAACCTGGCAAGCTACCCGTGTTGTATTCGGTATGCCAAACACAGTAGCAACAAGTTTCACAATGGAGACGTTACTGGGCCCACTTGAACAAATCGATGAACAATGGAAGGACAGTGTTACACTAGGTGATTTATAATTAATCCTCATAATAATCGAAATGAAGATAAATTTTTTTGTCTTCAGTTTATTATTTTTGGAGCTATATATCTACCTGGTAGTGCCTAGGGACACTTATTCCTGACTCCATTCTCAGGGGTCATTCCTGGCAGTGCTGTGGGAACCCTGTAGATTCAGGGGACCGGACTGTGATTGTAGGCAAGGCAATCTTCAGCCCTTACTATCGTCATTTAAAGACAAAGATGAGGGCTGGAGAGGCAGCATAGGGGGGATGGTACTTGACCTGATCACTGCTGGCCCCAGTGTTAATATCCAGCACTGCCTGATCCCCCAGTACTACCAGGAGCGAACACTGAGTTAAGAGTAACCCCAGAGGTGATGGGGTGACTAAAACCTTATGAGAAGGGGGACATTCCGGCCCGTCCTTCACGCCCTATTGAGGTCACCAGTTGCCCCCCACGAGCGGCTCTCCGGCACAGCCATGACTCCAGAGCACAGAAACCAGTCTCTTAATTATCTGACTCTCAGTAGAAATACTTCCAGGGTTAATAAGTAAAATAGCAGAAATCCAAAACCACGCGGCCACTACCGCGGCCAGGCGACATCATTTAATTCTTGAAGCCAGCTGTAGAAAGCAAATCATTTCACAATGCTTTTTCAGCATGTCTGATTTGGGGGGAGGGGTAAACTCTAAATAATAATGGTGCATCTTTTATCGAAACAATGAATCTAGTCAAAGTAGATAGAGTGTTAACTAGAATTCATCTGCCTCACAGGCATTGGGGGATGTGGGGGGTGGGGGGTTATTGGGGTTCTTCATGGTGAAAAATAAGTATTGGTAAAGGGAAATGTGTTTGATATTTGCATGGCTGAGACCTAAACCTGAAAGCTTTGTAACTTTTCCCACAGTGATTCAATAAATAAATAAATTATATATATATAAAAAAAAAGAGTAACCCCAGAGCACTGCCAGGTTGGGTCCCTAAACCAAAACAAAAGAAGTGAAACCACCTCACAGAAGCATCGAGACTGAGGTTGACTTACTTGACCGAGTCAAAGGTGAACAGAGCCTGTGTGACTTCAAGCCTCCAGTATCGCTTCTCTAGTTTGCATGAACACAGATGCACGTGGAATGTATTCTGTGTGATCTGGGCCATTCTGTGGCCATCAGAGAGTTTTCCATTTCAGCAGTCGATAGTTCTCTCTTAACAAGTCTGGATGCAACTTAGTCACTGAAAGTTTTAAAACTTTATGACAGAAGTATTAGGGTCATATTGTTGTTGTTTTTTCCCCCACAGCTTATGTTCTCCCTAAAGTAACATGTATTTTTCTTTTAGGAGTAGACACGAAGTTGAAGTTCACTCTTGAACCATCTTTAGGTCAAAATGGTTTTCAGCAGGTAATATTTTTTCTTTTCTTTCTTCTAGTTTTAAATATTCTTATTTGGGGTTAACTCAGAGTGCCCTGAGATGTAGTCTGAGTATAGAAAAATTAATTTACTTCAATATACATATAAAGGTAATCTTTTGTAAATCATAGCTAAAAACAATTTACAAAGCCAAAGTATCCTGAGCTTATACTTGCACTGGACATTTATCTTTTCTTTTCTTTTTTTTTTTTTGGCTTTGTTGCTTTTTGGGGAGCCATGCTCTGCAGTGCGCTGGCCTTACTCCTGAGTCTATGCTCAGGGAACACTCCTGGCAGGGATTGGGAGACCATATATGGTTCCAGGGATCTAGCCCAGGTCAGCTGTGTACAAGGCAAGCACCTTTCCCTCTGTTCCATCTATCTGGCCCAGAAATTTGTCCTCTATAATAATGGTGACTTTAAAAAATTTAAAGCATCAAATGTTTATTATTCTGAATCTGTAATACTTGTTTCCGTTTCAGAACTGGGGCTCCCCAACCTTGTGTATGTACTCAGAGGAGCCATGGAGATGTTAGGGGTGCTAAAGAAATGGGGCTGGGGCAGTCAGTCATTCAAACTGGATATACCTGGCTGAAAGAAACTTTGACCCTTTACCCCAGTATGCTGTACACATTTGTTCATACCCTGCATGTGTCACGATGGGGAAAAGTTTGGGGTGGGAGGGATAATCCAGGAGGGAAGGTGCTCGCCTTAAAGTGCCGCCAGCCCCAGTATGATCCCCAGTGCTGACTGTGGTCTTCCAAGCACAGAGCCAGGAAGAGCTCCCGAGCCTCCCCCCACCCCACCCCTTCCCTGGTGGCCCAGAAAAAGGCCGAAAAGGGCTTATCCATATTAATTGGATCACTTTGCCTCTGTTTCTTTTGTTTCTAGTGGTACGACGCCCTCAAGGCAGTTGCCAGACTGTCAACAGGAATACCAAAAGAATGGAGGAGAAAGGTAGGAAGAGCCAGGGCTGAAATACAGAGGGCCATCACCGCCCTCCTAGTGTCTAAAATGTCACAGAGGATAGTCCAGATTGGGCCATTGGTTACCCTTTTCTTTTATCCGCTTTTATCAGTATTTATGGAATAAATACTGATAAAATAAATAAATATTTTAAATATTTTAAATATTTTGATAAATAACGACTGAGGATTTATTGCCTATATCGTGTGTCACATACTGTTCTAGATATTGGGGACATTAACCCACAGTGAGACACATGGCCCCCAGCTTTTGTCTTTGTGGAGCTTATTTACAGTGGATACAGTGTAAAGTATGTCAGATGGTGATATGTGCAGTGGCTAAAAATAAAGCAGAGAAAGGAATAAGGCGAGTGTGGGGAACAGGAGTGAGGAGGTGGAATTTTAAATGGATAGGTGACATTTGAGTAGGGCCTAAGGCGGTGAGCAGTGGGACTTGCTGGGGCTTTGGGGAGGAGGATTCTATGAGGTGGAGTCTCAGACAGAGCCTTGCAGGGGCCCTAGACCAAGGGTGGAGAGAGTGGGAGGCAGCCACACAGTGAGCCAAGGGGAAGCAGTTGCAGAGAGGGTCTTAGAGGTAATATGATGCGGCTAGGGGGGTGTCAGTCATGGAGGACACAGTAAGCCAGACTTGAACTTCTGCTCCGTGTGACATGGGAGGGATAGGGAATTTTTTTGGACCCGAAAAGTTACATGATGCAGTTTCCATTTTAATTGAAATCACACTTGACTTAGGTTTTATTTATTTTATTTTGTTTTTTTTTATACATTAAAAACGTTTAAAAAATTGAATCACAGTGATAAGCACATTTACAAAGTTGCTCATAATTGGATTATATGGATTTCCACTCATATAATGTTCCAGCACTCATCCCTTCATTCACTTAGGTTTTAAATGTGGCTGCAAACTTGAAAAATATGAGAGACAAGGATGACAGTAGAAGAGTTATGGTCATTCAGGCAAGATGTAGATCGAGATTGGGGTCATGGAGAGTGGGGGGTGGGGTGTGTGTGTCTGCTTTATTTAAGATGCACTTGTAAAACTGAGTTGGCACAAATGCACATTGGATTGAATATAAGGTAGATGAAGGATGTCTGTAGTGGTGTTAAGATTTTGATCTGTGCTATTGGGCTGGAGCGATAGCACAGCGGGTAGGGCGTTCGCCTTACAAGCGGCCAACATGGCCGACCCGAGTTCGATTCCTCCGCCCCTCTGGGAGAGCCCGGCTAGCTACCGAGAGTATTCGATATGCCAGACACAGTAACAACAAATCTCCAATGGAGACGTTACTGGGCCCGCTCGAGCAAATCGACGATCAACGGGAGGGCCTTTACCTTACCTATTGGAAATGTAGCATTACTGGTTTCTACTCAAACAGGGGAGCAGGTATGTGTTTAAATGCACGCATGTGTGTATTGTGATGGTGATAGATTAGGTGATTGATTTTGGATCTGTTTGAGATGCATGTCTAGGTTGAGGTGTTTTGTGGATATTTGGACACAATTCTAATGCCTAAGAGAGAGGTCTTGTTGGAGATTTAATTAATCAGTGTTAGTTCTTGTTAATGAAATTAAAATACTCAAACTTGAAATGTTCTCAGCAATCTATAAGTAGTTTTAGTACCTCTAGAATGTGAAATTGGGGGTTCCTTAAAATACACATTAGAGATGACATGAAGGCTGGAGGGAGGATAAGGGGCCCTCCCTGATGCAGCTGACTGGGTTGAATCTCGGGCACTGCATGTGGTCGCCTGAGCACCACCACGAGTGGTTCTGGGCACAGAGCCAAAAGTAAGTCCTGGGCACTTCTAGAGGTTGCAAAAAGTAAAAAAAGAAAAAGCATTATGAAATGGTTTTCAGAAACAACTTTTCAGAATAAGGTACCCAAAGAAGTAAAAAGTATTGGAACCGGAGAGGTAGTACAGCTGAGAGTTTACTGGCCTTGCATGTGGTGACCTGGGTTCGATTCCTGGCAGCACATTTATTCCCCACATGCCTCACCTTCACACTTTCTTGAGCACTGCCAGATATGATACCTGAGAAAAGAACTCTGAGCACTGCCATGTGCAGCCTGGAAACAAAAATTTTATAAAGGGGAGTAAAAAGTATTTAGTAACTCCTCCTCCCCTTCCCAACCCCCCCCTCCACCTATCCCCCCCACATATATATGAGAGAGACAGACACAGAGACAGAAAGAGATGACACTTGTCAATAACAATTTAAATTTATTTAAAAATTATTATTTAATGTTTTAAAATTGAATCAGTGAGATACACAGTTACAAGGTTTTTCATGTTTGGGTTTCAGTTATATAATGTTCCAACACTCATCCTTTCACAAGTGTACATTTTCCACTACCAATATTCCCAATCTCCTGAGCCACCTCCACCCCCCCCACACTTTTCTTCTCTCTCTCTCTCTCTCTCTCTCTCTCTCTCTCTCTTTCTCTCTCTCAAGCCATTTTTAACAAGCTCATCAGATAGTAGGATCAATAAAATGGAAAACATAAGTGGAATTTTTCATAGAGTTTCTAATGACCAGACCATTGAATGACACTTACAAGGGAACTTAACAGATATTAATTTAAGAACAAGAGAAACGCCCTAATTGGTACCAAACTGGTACAGGAAACATTCCAGTTAGGTTCTGGTAGATTTCTGCATGTGAGTTATATATGGTCCAGTTTTACTTCTTAAATGTAATAACTGTTTTCTAATAAAAAAGTTTATTATGTATTACCATTTTTTTTTGTCTCTTGATATTTTAGGTTTGGTTAACCTTGGCAGATCATTATCTGCATAGTATAGCCATTGACTGGGACAAAACCATGCGCTTCACTTTCAATGAAAGAAGTAATCCTGACGATGACTCTATGGGAATCCAGATAGTCAAGGTAAAGGACCTAAGCTTCACCCTGTTCTCTTACTGAGCACCTGTGTTTCCAGGATATGGGGTCAGTGGTCTAATGTCTGCACATCTTCTCTTTCTTCGTTAGTAACTTTTTAGTGTGATCTTGTTTTCATATATTTGAGTGTTGCCAGTTGAAAAAAATGTTCATTCATATTTGTTTTTAAATTCTTTTGCTCATAGCAGGAGATTAACATTCTTTCCTTCTCCTTTAGCACAGGTCAGTACTGCCAGCTGGAATTTGGGGGGCACGGGGCCTTGTACGATGCTTAGGGGGCTCCAGCAACCTTGGCAGCTGGGCAGGTGATTCTGTGTGAGGGCTCAAGGATGAGGTGCTGCAGTGCTGAGGGGTCACCTGGGTACCTCAGAGGCTCTCAGGAGCTTCCAGGGCTGCTCCCATTAGTTCTTGGTGATGTAATGCCAGGGATCAAGCTGGGGTCAACTACATGAAAGGCATGTATCTTTTATTTCTTTTGGTTTTTGGACCATACCCAGTGATGCTCAGAGATGACTCACAGCTCAGCACTCAGGAATTCTCCTGGCAGTGCTTGGAGATAAATATGGGATGCTCAGAAGTGAACCTGGGTCAGCTGTGTGCAGGGCAATAGCCCTACCCACTGTACTATCTCTGCAGCCCCAACATCTTTTAAATTTAATTTTGATTTTTGGGCTACACCTGGTGGTCCTAGGGCTTATTTCTGGCTTTGTGCTCAGGTTATGCTTATTTTTGTTCATTCGTGGGTGACCATACATGGTACTAGGCATTTAGCCAGTGTTGGCTGTGTGCAGTGTTTCTTCCAAATCTTGTGCACCAAGGGCTAGAGACATCAGACAGGGTGTTAAGGCACTTGTCTTGCCTAATGACTGACCCTGGTTTGATTCTGATACTACATATAGTTCCCAAGCACTGCCTGACCACAGACCCTGGCAGAGCCCCTGAGCACCTCCAGTTGTGGCCCAGCCACTCCTGAAAAAAAATTAAAAAAATTTAGAGGCTGGAGTGATAGCAGAACAGGTAGGGCATGTGCATTGCATGTGACTGACCTGGGTTTCATTCCTGACATCCCATATGGTCCCCTGAGCCCACCAGGAGTGATCCCTGAGCACAGAGCCAAGAGTAAACCCTGAGCACTGCCAGGTGTGGCCCACAAACCAGAAAGATTAAAAACAACGCAAAAATAATAAATTTTGAGCCCAAGAAAATGGGTTGAAGATCCTTTTTTTCAGGGACCAGAATGAAGTAAATTTAAATTAGCCTTTTATTGACAAATTCTGGAGAAAAAGAGAGAATTTTATATTTTGTGCTTGAAAAGCCTTTGCCCTATATACATTTCAGCCATTTAGAATTTCAGAATGTATTTTTCAAAGACGAACTATTTTACGTTTGAAATGTTTTTATTTTTCTTTAAATTGTGGATTATTAGGGGAATGCACATTTTACAATAATCACATTTCTAAGAAGATCTTTTATTTTGCCATGGAAGTGAATGCTATGTCAGTAAAATGTGATGTCAGCTCCTGAAAGCCATAGTCTCTGCTTGTAATTAAATTATAGATATTGTCCTCATTAAGTATTTAAGTGTAGCAAATGTTCTGTACTTTGTGCATAGATTTATAAAACAATTTGGATGGAATAATATTTTTGATCTTACGCAGAATAGTAATTTTTCTGTTCCTGTATATAATATGTTTTGCTATTTTGATTTATCTCTTAAATATTTGAAGTTTTAATAGTGAGATATTATCATTTTTTTATAGAAGAATAAAGTTAGTATCTAAAGTTTTTGTTAACGGTCTGGAAAAAACTACATTTCAGCAGTTGAAAAAAAGCATATAAAAAAAGCATTAAGGAACTGAAAATGAAGTAAAAAGTATTTTGCTCATCCGTTTAATGTGATTATAAATTTGTAAGAACTAAAATTCGTGTCAGTAATCTAACGCCAGAGGCACAGAAATAAAGGTGTTCATTATGAACAGGCTCTTGGGAGGCTTCTTGAAAAGACTGTCCTTCCCATTTTAGGATCTTCATCGCACAGGCTGCAGTTCCTACTGTGGCCAGGAGGCGGAGCAGGACAGGGTGGTGCTGAAGCGCGTGCTCTTAGCCTATGCCCGATGGAACAAGAACGTTGGCTACTGCCAAGGCTTTAACATCCTCGCTGCACTGATTCTGGAAGTGGTGGAAGGCAACGAAGGGGATGCCCTGAAAGTGAGTATTGGTTTCTGTAGAAGGCTGGTGAAGGACACAGTGATGCTTGGGCCTCTCTCTGGCTCTGGGGATTCCCTCGCCCACCCCAGGTGGGATGCAGATTCCAGATCTGCACTCATGTTCTAGGGGCACCTCATGTGCCAGGGAACAGGTGGGGTTAGCCGTGCACCAGGCACGCCTCCTAACCTCTGGACTGTCTCTCCGCCCTGAAATTCTTCTGAGAGTGAAGTTCTGGAACTGTAATTTCTTTTTCTTGATCCCCACACTGCTTTTTCAGTAGCGTTGTTTCCAGTTTTGTCATTACCAATAACACTGCTTGCTATCAAGAAGTGATAGATTTATGTAGTCACTAAATGTGAGAATTCCTATCATATTTTTGAAAGTGAATTAAGTATAAGAATCACTGTATTGCTGTCATCCCGTTCATCGAGTTGCTTGAGCGGGCACCAGTAACAACTCCATTTGTCCCAGCCCTGAGATTTGAGCAGCCTCTCCTTACTCGTCTTTCACAACGCTGCTGTATTGGAGCCTCTTTCAGGGTCAGGGGAATGAGACCCGTTATTGTTATTGTTACTGTTTTTGGCATATCGAATACGCCTGATGGCTCATTTCAGAACCCTTGAACTTCAGCTGGCTTCAGGGCGTTAGGACAGTGGGAATGATTCTAGCCTTTGTATACAAAAGTATCTGCCCAGCTCTGGTTGCGGGGATGAGTTTAGTGATATTCTCTACCCCTGATTAAAGCAACTTGGGAAAATAAACACATTCCTCCTGCCTGTATTCACATTATGATGGGAGTAATAATAAATCCCACTGCACATGATCTAAACATGTATTTAGCCTCTCCCTTTTTTCCATTCATTTTTTTTTTTTGAGCTGCCTGTTTCTTGGATAGGTGGGAGTGGAAGGGAGAGAGTGACAAGAAAACATGTAGGTTTAGACCATTTTCTATGAAGAAGCACATTTAAAATAAAAACCCTGTCATCTTCTGGTCTTTTCAGTATCAGCTATAACTTGTATGGCTGTCAAAGGAAAGTGTTCCGGTTGAAAGGTTTGAATGATCAGCTTGGGGAGGGGCCTTGAGAAAGATTGCACTAGCGATCACATTGTGAAATCAAAATAATAATACTTGGAACACTAAACCAGCACATTGAAGAGTGTTTTAGAGCAGCATTCCCTAGCCTGTGGGCCCCAGGATAGCCTAAAGGGGTCAAAGGTGAAAATCACATAATAAGGAGGAGCATTGAAGCCTGGGAAAAAGACACAGCATGAGACTAGGGGGCAGCCAATGGGATGGGGGTGGGCGTGCGGGTGGGGGGAGTCTATGGCAGAAACCAAGTTGGAAGGGGGGGCACAGTAGGAAAAGTTTGGGGCAGAAATGCAGCTTAGCGACAGAGCACTTACCTTGCTTCTGGGAGGCCCTGGGTTTGAGCCCCCGCATCACAAAAACAAAAGAGAAAAAAGGATTAGAGGGTGTTGAGAAATTGAGTGTTTCTATTTCTGTCTCTAAGGAAGTGAAAACTGGCATGAAATGACATTATCATCAGCTGTGACTCTTCCAGTTACACATTCAGCATGCAGGGGAAAGTTGGGCTCATGAAGAAACAGTTCTGATGCAGAAGAAAATATTGATGCTGGGTGATTTCACAGCAGCTGTTTTGGCCTCTGCATTTATACTTACTAGAGAAATGGTTTATTAGGAGTAGGTAAACCATTTTCATGGCTTTCAGTGCTTCCTTGTTTTCGTTGTTTTTCATAGTTAGCTTTTAACTATTTGTGGAAAATTTAAAGCTCCCCCAAGATTTTATGAAAGATATGGGGGTGGAGCGATAGCACAGCGGGTAGGGCGTTTGCCTTGCACGTGGTGGATGAGGTAGACCCGGCCGACCTGGGTTGGATCCTCCGCCCCTCTCGGAGAGCCCGGCAAGCTACCGAGAGTATCTCGCCTGCACGGCAAAGCCTGGCAAGCTACCCCTGATGTATCCGATATGCCAAATAATGTTACTGTGAGACAGTAACAATAAGTCTCACAATGGAGATGTTACTGGGCCCACTCGAGCAAATCGATGAAAAACGGGAGGACAGTACAGTGCTACAATGCCATGGGGTTGGAAAGATAGCGCAGTGGGTAGAGCGCACGCCTGCTCAGTGGGCCTGGGTTCAGTCTGTGGTTCTCCATGTGGTCCTCTAAGCCTGCCAAGAGCAATTGATCCCTTAGTGTTGAGCCAAGAGTAAGCCCTGAGAATAGCTGGGTATGGACCAAAAGCATAAGCAAATAATAATAATAATAATAATGGAAAGGAGGGAAGAAAGAAGAAAAACTTAATATGCAGTGGGGAGGACAATTGGCCATACCTGGTAGTGCTCTGGTCACTTATATCTCTGTGCTCAAGGATCTCTGTGTTTTCTGGCAGATCAAATTGGGGCCAGTTGCATGCAAGGCAAGTACCTTACCCTCTGTACCATCTCTCTGGCTCTCGTGCCCAGATTTTGATAAGTGTAGTAGCGTCTCATGGTGCCCTGGGCTTGAGTTTTCCTGATGGTTGGGATGTGGACCATTTCTTCATGTGCTTCTTTGTCTGTGGTACCTCCTCTTAGTTCTGATATCTGCTCCAGTGACTGTTCAGGTGTGAGCTGAATGTCTCCCCTTTTATTCCCTGTTGCAGTTGGAATGATCAGAAGTCACACTTTTGAGTGAGTTATTCCCCAGGGGACACACATGTGTTAACTGTGGGGCTCATACAGTTGATGGTGATGATGCTCTTGCTTGGGATGTGGTGTGCTGGGGATAGCAGGATGCCCCATGCAGTACCACTAGGCTTGGCATGGCATCCAGGGTGATGTTCAGGAATGGACTGGACTGTAGGTACTTGACCACTGGGTTGATTCTGGGTTTCTTTGCTGTTTTTGTTTTTGGTTTTTTTCCCCTTGCCTTTTTTTTTTTTTTTTTTTTTTTTTTTTTTTTTGCTTTTTGGGTCACACCCAGTGATGTACAGGGGTTACTCCTGGTTCTATACTCAGGAATTACTCCTGGCGGTGCTCAGGGGACCATATGGGATGCTGGGAATCGAACCCACTGTGCTGTCACTACAGCTCCTGCTCTGTTTTTAAGTCATGATTTTTTTTTTTTTTGCTGGGTTTAAGTTCTTGTTATATTCTAGATGACAGTTTCTTTTCAGACAGCATTTGGATTCTCATCTTGAGGTCTGTATCTTACCTTCTTTTTTATCCTTGGACCACACCTGGCTGTGCTCAGGACTTAATTCCTGGTTCTGTTCTCAGGAATAACTTATGGCAGACTTTATGGGGTGCTGGGAATTGATCCCAGGTCAGGTCAACCATATGCAAGGCAAGTGCCCTTCCTGCTGGACTGTCTTTCTGGCCCCGTCTCTTGTTGTTTTGGGGACACACCTTGCATTGTTCAGGGTTACTTCTGAATCTGCACTCAGGAATCAGTCCTGGGGGGGGGGGGGTGTCAGGGAACCAGCTGGAATGCTGGAGAATAAACCCTGGTTGGACAGACAAGGCAAGTGCCCTGTCCACTATATTTTCTTTCCAGCCATGGCCCCTATATTTTGTCTTAATTTTCTTGACATTGTCTTCAAAGGGCAGAATTAGAAGACTTTTTAATGGACCAGCTTATTAAATATTCCTTTTTCGGTTGGTCTTTTTATGCTACCCCTGGGGGGCTATTTCTGGCTTTGTGCTTCGGATCACTCCTGCTAGTGCTTGGAGGGGACCATATGCAGTGCCAGGAATTGAACCGCAGTTGACTGTTTGCAAAGCAAGTTCCTTAACTCTGGCACTATCTCTCTGGACTCTTGGCTCTTAGGCTTTGAGATGTCTTTAAAGTAAAATATGCGTGTGTGTGTGTGTGTGTGTGTATGCGTATGTGTGTGGATGCATCTAAGTGTATACTTAGATGTGTAAGATCACTGAGCCACATCCCTGGCCTTTGAGATACCTTTAGATAGTGCTTATGTCACAAAAATTACTCTTAATTGGAATGTCCCCCCTTGTTTCTGTATAATTTTGAGGGAGTATAATTTCTCAAATAAAATATTTTTGGGTTGTTTTGGGAGCCACACCTGGTGGTACTCAGGGCTTACTCCTGGTTCGGAGCATGGGGTCAGTCCTGGCAGTGCTTGGCCCTGTGCAGTGGCAGAGAAATTGAACCAGAAGTGGCCATGTGCAAGGCAAGCGCCTTATATCTGTACTTATATGTACATTCTGTCCAGCCCAAGATACCCTTTGATTAAAGGCACAGTACCAGGCAGATGGTCACTTTATATTTTTGCCTGTATGATCTTATAAATCTTATAAATCCTTCCCCCCCTCTTTGGGGAAGTGTGAACTCTCCACTGGGGATTCCCGGAGTCTCCCATCAGGTGGCCTCTGCCTCTCCACTCCCTCCTCCCTCCACATAGGTGGAATAGGCTGACTGCTCAGCTCCTGTTTCCTGGGCGAGGATACATTTGCCTGTTCAAGTCTATTATAAGAAGGTTAAGGAGGCCCCCAGTGCTCAACTATCCCTGTAATAATTGCCTCTGAGAGACATTTTTAAGAGTATGCTTTCATTCTTAGTTCAAACCATCACCCTTAGAGTAGAAATTATAAGAGGGGGAAATAGATCTTGGTGGGTTTGGGAGTGATATATTTATATATATATATATATGTATTTTTTTTTCTTTTGAAAGTAGGGTTTTGCACTATATTGGAAACCTGCAGGTGAGACAGCTGCTTCAACAGCATACAACATCAGCTATGATTTTGTTCTTTTTTTGGCAGGGGGTAGTTTAAGCCATGCTCAGGAGCCCCTCCTTGGCAGTTCTTGGCCAACTTGGGCCTGTGATTCAAGGGTCAATCCAAGGGTGCATTGCTTCTAGGGTCCTGTACTGCCTGGGTTCACCTGGGCCACCCATGTGGTCTTGAGTGGCCTCCAGGGCTGCACCTGGTGCTGGTCAGGAGACTGGGTGGTGCTGGCATGGTCACATGCAAGGCAAGCACCATAACCTCTGTACTATCCCTCTGGCTCCTGTGATTATTTTTGGATTTTTAAAAATTATCTTTATCATTATTACTTTAAAAAAAATTTTTTTTTCCTGTGGGGTGAGCACACCTGGTAGTTCTCAGAGCTTACTCCTGGCTCTGAACTCAGGGATCTGTCCTGGTGGGGCTTGAGGGACCTTATGGGGTGCCAGGGATCGTACCTGGGTCAGCCTCATGCAGGGAAAATGCCCTATGTGCTGTGCAATCTCTCCCCCCCCCCCCCCCCCCCCCCCGCCTGTCTGGTTTTATCCTTAGTTTTTTCCTCCTTGTGCTTTAGGCCATGGCTGGGAGTTCTTGGGAGAAGGACAGTAAGCAGGGGGTGTAAACAGACACGGAAAGGACTCGAGGCTGGTCTATAGAACATGTGTGCCTTGTTGTCTCATTCTAAGTTCTTGGCATCTTAGAAAAGGTCGTCCAAATAGAAGTGTCAGAATGGAATGAAGCCTTTGAGGCATGTCTGAGATAATTTTATGAAAGAAATTCAGGCTTTTAAAAGTGTCCTTGGTTTAAATGAAATCTTCTTGCTGAAAGTGGACATGAAGCCACGCACAGTCGTTCTGATCCTTAGCCCCGGGGGATGGTGAATGAGTGCCAGGGCTGTGTGGGTGGGGGCCGGTGTTTCCAGAGGCTGCTCAACTCAGCGTTTCCACATCAAGGTCATAAAACTGCAGCATCAAGGAGCCGATACTGAGGCTCCAGCTGGCGGAGTCTGTCTCTGCAGCTCCTTCTCTATTGGGGGCTGTGTGATCACAGGTGCTGCCGGCGATGAACTCAGGGTGAGTGACCGTCACATCTAGAAATTTCTGCCAGCAGCAAACTTTTTGCAAGACTTAGATAATTAAGCTGCTTGCTCCTTTCCCAATGTGGACATGAGGCTTAAAAATCCAGAACATTTGGTGCTGATACATTTCAGTGCTTGGCTAACTGCATTTTAAGTCTATTTCAAGATGTTCTGGAATATATTCTGTTCAGGGTATGTTTGGATGCTGGCGTTTATGAAGCAATCTTGTATCTTGTTCTTTGTCATCCCCCTCTCCTCCCCAGATTATGATTTACCTTATTGATAAAGTTCTTCCTGAAAGTTATTTTGTCAATAATCTCCGGGCATTGTCTGTGGATATGGCTGTCTTCAGAGACCTCTTAAGACTGAAACTCCCCGAATTATCTCAGCACTTGGACACTCTTCAGAGAACCGCAAACAAGGAAAGTGGAGGTAGGGATGACTCAATGCTCTTGAGAATATTTTTACTTCTTTTCTTCTTTGATTCCACTCTATGTGTGGGCCGACATGTTGAATGAAAATACATATTTTTAGGGTGTTTCTATTTTGTGAGAGTTTGGTCCAAAAAGAACAAAAACAAAACTGGAAAAATAGACAGAAGGCTACATATTGTAACTTGAGCTGGTCACTGGTAGGAAGTCAGTAAAGACTGGCCAGAGACACAACAGGGGTTGAGACATTTGCCTTGCAGATGACCGATCCCAGTTCAAATCCCTGGCACTGCATATGGTCCCCCCAAGCACTGCCATGGGTCACTCTTGAGCACAGAGTTGGCAGAACCTCCTGAGCACTGCTGGGTGTGGCCCAGCACTTTGCCCTTGCCCCCCAAAAGTAAAGAATCTAATAAATGAATACTAGACCAGCAATTAAAATGTGATATATTGTACAGCCAATCAAGAGTGACATACTCACTCTTAACGCTCCAAGCGGGTAGTTAAGAGTTATTTAAAACTGAGCCACCCATGTGTTTAAGAATGGGAGCCATAGAGGTTACCGGAAAGGGGAATCTGTTTTCCGAGTTGCAGGAGAGAAAGGCACTCCTAGGTTGCATTAAAGTGTTTAATGCTCCCTTTATTTATTCATGCAGAGGGCATTTAAGCTTTGCTTGGGGGAGGTCAGGGCCCTAGAGAAACCTCTTCTGGATCTCCACACTAGAGGCCTGGGGGCAGGGGTGCTGAGCTGATTGTGTGATTCTGCGAGGGGGTCTCAGTGGCTTGGGAAGGGGTCAGGGAGGTCATGAGACAGCTACGGGCAGCTGTGACGAGACTCCCTGCATACACTTCTCAGGCTGGCGTGGGAGACCAGAAAGAGTTGTCAAAAATCTGTTTTGTTTTCTGTCAGTGGCCTTCAGATCCTGACCTGTGCATTTAAATTGGGCAAAAGAGTAAAGGTTTTGAGGGCTTAATCTGTGCTCAGAGTGCCTGGAAATTTTCATGATACCTAGATTCTCTAAGCACTTCCTTCTAAGTGATTTGCATAATCCCCATTTAATTGGACTCTGCATTTACCTGTGCACTCTGTGCATCTCATAAGCTTCCAGAGAAACCTGCTTTACCTGCCTGAGGCTTAGACACACACTGCTGGCTCCATGTGGCCCCCAACATTCTGCACTTGTCACAAAGGGTGACCCGAGATTAAATCTCCAAACAAAGATACTCCATTGTTCACAGAGAAGAAGAAAGACAGTGTAGGAAAACAGCCCTGCTTCTGCTTATACTTACATATTTTGACTGTGAATGGGGGCAGGGGGGTGGATAATGAGTCCAAATATCTAATTATTGCTGGAGCGATAGTACAGTGGGTAGGGCATTTGCCTTGCATGCAGTCTACCCAAGTTCAATCCCCGGCATACTATATGGTCCCCTGAGCACTGCCAGGAGTAGTTCCTGAGTGCAGAGCCAGGAGTAACCCCTGAGCATAATGGGTATGACCCCCCCCCCCCAATGTTCTCCAAATATCTAATTATTTCTATTTCTTGAAGTACATAGTTCTGTCATCAAAGAAGTGGGACTGAGTTTAGTGATTCTGCTGAATTGAGAGACTTTAGTGAGACTTTAGTGAGCTATATCTCAGGTCTTAAAAATTGCATATAGTTGGTTCATAGAGATAAAACAGGGACCAAGGTGCTTGCCTTGCAATCTGCCAGCCTGGCTTTGCCCTTAGAGGCAGTGGCTGGAACTGAGGATTCTGGACCTCCATGGGTTATTGGTGTCTTCAATGATTTGGAGGAGGAGTGTTCTCACCTGGCCACACATCCAGACATTTGAGGGGGGAAGTTAGGGCTCTGTTCTACCCCTTCAGGCTTCTTGGCAGCGTTGTGGATGGTACAGCAAAGCTGCAAGCAGGTGCTGACACCCATAACTTCCCGGGGTGGAGATTGGGTTGGGGCTTTAGGCTGGGATTGTGAGCTGACATTGTCAGACAGCCTCTTGTTGGGGCACTCACCTGGATGACTGGCAGTGCTGCCAACCCTGGTTCCATCACTGCACCCTGTATAGTTCCCTCAGGTACTGCCAGAGGTCATTCATGAGCACTGAGTCCAGAACAGCCCCTGAGCCCTGCCTGGGGCGGCTAAACCCACTGGACTGGAGGTACTGGACTGGAGGCCTGGCTTTCATCCTTGGCACCCTAGTCTTGTGAGCACTACCACAAGCACCGAGCTTGGAGCAGCGTTGTTGCACCTGAGCACTGTTGGGTGTCACCACCAAATAAAAACCAAAAATAATTTAAAATTTCATGTTGTTCAATCTCTCTCTCTCTCTCTCTCTCTCTCTCTCTCTCTCTCTCTCTCTCTCTCTCTCGTTTTTTTCTCATTTTGTTTTTGGGCTGCATATGGCAGTGCTCAGGGATCACATTATTTTTGTGCCTAGGCATCTCTCCTGGTGGGACTGGGAATTGAACCCCTGTCAGCTGTGTCCGAAGCAAGTGCCCTACCCACTGTACTATGTCTCCAGCCCACCAGTGTCTCAAATATGTGTATTTTTTTATTTTGTTTTGTGGCCATGCCCAGCCTTGCTCAGGCCCTGTTTGTGGCTCTGCACTCAGGGGTCCACTACTGGTGGGGCTCAGGTGCCTTTTGGAGTACTGAGTACCAAATCCTGGCTGGCTGCATGCATCTCTCTGGTCTCTACTCTCAAGTAGTTTGAGATTTTCAGTTACTTTTCTGTTATTGATTTATAGCTTAATTTCACTGTGGTCTGAGAACTGCTTATATATATGTGTGTGTGTATATATATATATTTATATATATTTGTTTTTGTTTTTGTTTCTTTTTGGGTCACACCTAGCAATGCTCAGGGGTCACTCCTAGCTCTGCACTCAGGAGTTACTCCTGGCGGTGCTCAGGGGACCATATGGGATGCTGGGAATCGAACCTGGTTCGGCCATGTGCAAGGCAAACGCCCTACCTGCTGTGCTATAGCTCCAGCCCATGAGAACTGCTTATAATTTAAGAACTAGACAAGGAATTTATAATGCGCAATTTTACCAGGAGTATTTGAATAAAAATGGGCTTTATAAGATTTTAAAAGTCACCATTAGCTTTTGACAACTAACATTCTTTTTGAGGTTCTGTTTTCTGGTGAGAAAAAGAAAACAATTTTGGTTTTCAGCACCCTACTATCAGTAGAGTCAAATTAAGTTTCAGGTTAAAATTTCTGAAGTATTTAAAGAATTTGTGAAGTCCATATTCTTGAGTTAAAAAAAAAGAATGCAACACACTTATGTTCTTCTAGCAAGCAGGAAGGAACAAAGAAAGAGAGAACCAGAATTTAGAGATACACCAAAGACCAGGAACAGAATGTTTGGGCAGATTTGGAAATTGAAAAACGGTGTTTTATGCCTTGCAGACCCTTGCAACCCATCAGTTCTGAAGAAACGTGGCATGTGTTTTCTTTCAGGTGGCTATGAGCCCCCGCTGACCAACGTCTTCACGATGCAGTGGTTCCTCACACTCTTCGCCACGTGTCTGCCCAACCACACTGTCCTCAAGATTTGGGATTCTGTCTTCTTTGAAGGTTCAGAAATCATCCTACGGGTGTCACTGGCAATCTGGGCAAAACTGGGAGAGTAAGTGACCGTTCCCCTTTGCTGCTTTTCTGTGGGCCCAAGCCCCGGCCTTAGTCTGTTTTTTTTTTTTTCTTTATGGGTCATACCTGGTGATGCACAGGGGTTATTCCTGGCTCATGCACTTGGGAATTACTCCTGGCGGTGCTCAGGGGACCATATGGGATGCTGGGAATCGAACCTGGATTGACCTCGTGCGAGGCAAATGCCCTACCCGTTGTGCTTTCACTCCAGCCCGTTAAGCTGTTTTTGTATCCTGACACATAAAGCTTGAAATTTCAGTATCAGGAAAAGAGAAAGTGGTAGATATTGTTGAATCATAGTAGCTGTCTGAAATCTCGGGGCCTTCTTCTGAGTTCTTGTGTTGGGGCGGATGGGATGTACTTCTGTTTAGCTTTGTTTTGTTTCTGGGTCACATCACTGATGCTGAGGACCTATTCCCAATTCTGTGCTCGGGTCACTCCCAGTTGTAAACAGATGCCACTGGGGGACCACATGTGGTGCCGGGGATCAAATCTGGGTCTCCTGAATGCAAAAATAGGCATCTCTCTAGCCCATGAAATCTATTTCTTCTCTTTGTGAGGAGAGGAGGTTTAGACATACCTTGTCATCAGGGGATACTCCTAGCTTGTGCTGGGGATCATGTGGTGCTCGGGGTCCATCAGGGGTTGGTCACATGCAACTTTCCCCCTGCACTTTCTCTCTGGTCCATAAAATCTATTTGTAAGAGGAGCTGGGCCAGGGTCTTGCAGGCTGAGAGAGTCCGCCTCCTGCCTCTGCATGAGCATCTGGGCTTGGTGACTTCTAGTCAGCCCCTCATTGGACACAGCGAGGACTTAGCTTATTGGCTCAAATCACTATTTGACTTATTTAAATGTCTCTGTCTATCTTGTTCTTCCCTTAGGTCTGTGACAAAAGTCAATATGATCATGGTCTAAAGGCGTGGTGCTTGATGCATAAGCAGTAGCAGACAGATGCTTCTTTCCTTTCCTCAAGAATTAATTCTTTGGGCAGGAGAGATAGTGCAGGGGTTGAGCGGCTTGCCTTGAATATGGCCAATGCTGGTTTGGTCCCTGGCACTGCATGGTCCCTGCCAGGGATTATTTCTGAGCATAGAACTAAGAATAAGCCTTGAACACTTCCCTGTGTAGTCCCATAACTTAAAAAAATTCTTTGCAGAGATCTATTCTTATCAAAGATTATTTGTATTTTTCCTAGTAGTAGGATTGAAAAATATCTAGACTTTTTTCCCCTTTAATATTATGACTATTGCATTAAAATTCCACCTTTTCAAGTAATAGGAGAAACATCAGGATGAAATTGTTATGGGTAACTTGAGATGCAGAGAAGATTTTAGTGTTTCTTTCCTAGAGCTATAAATCACTTGTGTGGGCACTCATAGACAGCACGTCAGAAAACTAATAAATCACTGCCAGTATTTAGTTTCAAAATCCTTTTAACTAGTCTTTTTATTTATGACAAGTTGTTCCCAGGAGACTTGTAGCAGTTTTCACGTCTTACAAGCTGGATTCACCAACACACAAAGCACCTGTGGGAGCCCCAGATGTGACCCCAGCATGGTCTTGTCCCCAAGCTCTGCTGCAACAGCCCTGGAGCACAGAGCCAGGAGTAGTCCCTGAGCACTGCTGGGTGTCACCTAAAACAGATACACAGATTGTATTTTCCTTTCTTCCTTCCCTTCCTTCCTTCCTTCCTTCCTTCCTTCCTTCCTTCCTTCCTTCCTTCCCTCCCTCCCTCCCTCCCTCCCTCCCTCCCTTCTTCTCTCTCTCCCTTCCTTCCTTCCTTCCTTCCTTCCTTCCTTCCTTCCTTCCTTCCTTCCTTCTTCCTTCCTTCCTTTCCTCTTTCCCTCCCTCCCTCCCTCCCTCCCTCCCTCCCTCCCTCCCTCCCTCCCTTCTTTCTTTCTTTCTTTCTTTCTTTCTTTCTTTCTTTCTTTCTTTCTTTCTTTCTTTCTTTCTCTTTTTGAGTTACATCTGGTGATGCTCAGGGGTTATTCCAGCTCAGCACTCAGGAATTACTCCTGGAGGTACTTGGGGCGACCATATGGGATGCTGGGGATTGGCCATGGGCAAGGCAAATGTCCTACCTGCTGTACTATTGCTCCAGCCCCTATGTTTTCTCTTAAAAATATTATTCGTGACACTATGATTTAAGATACTGTTAGAGGAAGGGTTCAATGAATACAAGCATTCCAACACCACATCCTCCACCAGCGTCCACTGTCTTTCACCATCGTTTCAGTGTTGTAGATGGTTTTTTTTTCTTATTTTCTTTTCATTGCTATACCCTCTGTGCTCAGGGCTTCATCCTGGCTATTTGCTTATCTTTTCATATCCTTTGCATATCCTCCCAAGGTCTGCCTGTTGCTACAGTCATGTATTTCTAGCCTTGTCTGTACCCTGTAAAAGGTGAAGTCGCTCCAGCTATTTGTGCATTGAGTTTTGGCGGTTATGATAGGCCAGTTACTAATTACTTTCTAGAATTTGCATAGTCAAGCAGTTTCCTATCTGTTACATTCAAGTGTAATCCTTCTTGTGTTAGTTTTCAATTGCGGGACAGAAAGGAAAGGACCATTTTCCATTTTATATCCTATGGTCTGTAGGGTTAGCAGTTAACTCTCTGATCATCCTAAGATGTCCCATTCCTGCAATAGTAATTGCTGTGCTTGCAACCTAATATTCATGGAGTGTTTGCAATGGATCACACACTGTTTTTTTTTTTTTTACCTTTTTTGGGTCACACTCAGCGATGCTCAGTGGTCACTCCTGGCTCTGCACTCAGGAATTACTCCTGGCGGTGCTTGGGGGACCATATGGGATGCCGGGGATCGAATCCAGGTCAGCCGTGTGCAAGGCAAACACCCTACCCGCTGTGCTATCACTCCAGTCCCTGGATCAGGCACTGTTTTAAGCATTCTAGATGTAAAATCGACTCCATTGGTCGTCAACCTTTGTTCTATGAGGTATAGGAACTGTTGGCAGTCCTCATTTCACAGATGTGGAAACTAAGGTACGGAAGAAAAAGTTGCTCAGTTAACAGGTGGAAGTATCTGCTTTTGTTCTCTCTCTCTCTCTCTCTCTCTCTCTCTCTCTCTCTCTCTCTCTCTCTTCTCTTTCTCTCTCTCTCTCTCTTTGGAGGTGTGGTTCCAATTAGAGGACCTCAGAGTCCACTTTCTGGCTCTCTTTGGTCAATCAAGTTGGATAATTCAGTGCTCAGGCTGAAGGATGTGGTCCTGCTGGGTTTCTGAGGGGCTGAGGATCAGCTAGGGTCACCAGGGTCTCCTGTGCTGAGCTGGGAGTAGGGGCGGGTCAGATTTGGAACCCAGCTTCAGAAATCCCTTTGGAAGTACTTTAGATCTGTGCTTTCTGATGGTGTGAATCAGCTGATAGAGAGTTATTATTTAGGAAACACACGGGAAACCTGAATCAGACTGATAGACATTTTAAGTGTTCAGCATCATTGCTCATTATAATTTGGCAGTGTTTTGAGCTCACCAGTTGCCAGGAGGAGGTGAAGGTAGGCTGCAATATTATCAAGTGCTTACATGTTGAATTCTGGAGCAGCTTAAACACATGATCTCACTTGAGTCTCTCCCCAACTCTGGGAAGTGTGGAGGATCGTTCCTTCTGTCCTTTCAAGCACAGCATTTACCTTGGGAGGTTAATTAGCCAGTGCAAGATCAGACAGGTCATGAGGAGCAGAGCTGGGGCTTCAGCCTGGGTTTCTCTGTAGCCTTCCATACAAAGTTATCATTTGGGAAAAGTGAAACAGAACAAAACAGCTCAGCACATAGGTAGGTAAGTTCCGTTCAAGTTGACCTGACATGTGCCTTTTATAGGCTTATCCATGGGACCACTTCTTTCATCTTGCCTCTGTGACTTGAAATTTCTCCCTCTCACTCACCCGCGGATTGCTGTGAAGCATGTGACCATGCATATCCTCTCATCTTCATGGCGTCTTTTGTGTCTCTCCTCTGCCCCTACTGCTGTGGCTGTTTCTGCCATGTCTGACCCACAGTGGCGTGTCCTTCCCATCGTGCCCTTGACTTGCCATGTCATCCTGAAGCTGAGCACATCTGCCCTCCCTCCTGCCTCCTCACCGCAAAGGGGCTTACTTGGCAGACGAGGCCTTTGAGATCAGCTGCCACCATTGTCACTGCCTCCGTCCACCTCTGCCACACACACTCTGGTCTTGTAGGTGACTCGCAGTTCCTCAGGTGGGGTCTGTGGTCTCTTGCCTGCCCAGCTTTCGAATGTTTTTTTTTCTTTCTTGTCAATCTGGAGAGTATTTTTCAACACTCATCTCTGGTATTTATCCTTCCATCACCCCCCAGGGTAAGTGTCTCCACTTTTTAAAAAAAAATTATCCTGCCATGCTACTCTACTTTCTCCCCCCCCGCCCCCAAGTTTTGTTTGTTGAATCATCGTGAGAGCTACTCTTCTTTTATAATAAATACTCTGTACTTCAGTAGTTTATTTCCATGATTGTGGCAATAGGATTTGTCCCGAACTCATCCTGATTTTTTTTTGAACAATATTAGCTAATCTCAAATCACATGTCTTTTTTTTAAAAAAATTTATTGAATCACCATGAGATAGTTACAAGCTTTCATGTTTGGGTTACAATCACACAATGATCAAACACCCATCCCTCCACCAGTGCACATTCCCCACCACCAGTATCCCCGATACACTCTCCCCCTGCCTCCATGGCAGACATGATTCCCCATAATCTCTTTGGGGCATTATGGTTTGAAATACAGGCCCTGAGAGGTTATCATGTTTGGTCCTTTATCAACTTTCTGCACAGATCTCCCATCCCGACCAATTCCTCCAGCCATCTTTTTCTTAGTGATCCCTTCTCTATTCCAGCTGCCTTCTCCCCATGAGGCAGGCTTCCAGCTATGGGGCAATCCTCCTGGTGCTTGTATCTGCTATCCTTGGGTGTCAGCCTCATGTTATGTTGTTTTATACTCCACAAATGAGTGCAGATCTTTTATGTCTGTCCCTCTCTTTCTGACTCATTTCATGTAGCATGATATTCTCCATGTCTGTCCATTTATAAGCAAAGTTCATGATGTCATCTCTCCTGACAGCTGCATAGTATTCCATTGTGTAGATGTACCAAAGTTTCTTTCAGCAGTCATCTGTTCTAAGGCACTTGGGTTGTTTCCAGATTTTGGCTATTGTGAACAGTGCTTCAATGAACATATAGGTACAGATGTCATTTCTGCAGTGCTTTTTTGCATCCTTGGGGTATATTCCCAGAAGTGGTATTGCAGGGTCATATGGAAGCTCAATTTCTAGTTTTTGAAGGACTGTCCATATTGTTTTCCATAAAGGCTGGAGTAGTGTGCATTCTCACCAACAGTGAAAGAGCATCCCTTTTCCCCCACATCCACGCCAGCCATGGTTAAAGCACATGTCTTATGAGTAGAATTATCTTATTGTTTAATGAACACTGAAATGGTAAAATGGGGTACATTGTGATCATTGCTTCCCCTCTTTCCTTTGTGTACTCCTAGAAGAAGGATTCAAGTGTAACCCACCAAGCAGGTTGCAGGGTGACAGAGTCATATGTAGAACCAGAGGCAACAATGAGTGTTATCACCAACTACCAATGCCCCTAGAAGAACTGGAAATGCCTGTTGTGAAGACATGGACTGACAGGACTTGCAGATAAAGTTCAAATATCTCCTGTCTTTTACTTGACTGGTTTAGTCTATCAATGATCTCACAGTTTGCAGATTGAGAACAGCCGCTCATACAGAGAGTCGCCTTGCATGTGACTGACCTGGGTTTGATACCCGATACCCCATATGCTCCCCGGAGCCCACTAGGACTGATCTCTGCCTTCAGAGCTAGGAGTAAGCTTTGAGCACAGCTGGGTATGGTCCCCAAACAAAACAAGAACAAAACAACATCTCCAGAGGGATCATGGTTCTTCAGTACCCAATTTTGGGGCTTCTGATTTATGGTCACTAGTGAGTCTTTTAGTTCATGGGCTGTGCTATATAGTAGCAATAAAGATGCCACAGTTGGAGTGAGTCTGCTGACTGCTAGGGAAGAGAAGGAATTCATCCTGTAGTAAGTGCTCCTAACTTGCCTTCAATGTCTTTTATCTTCTCTTCACATATAGAAGGCCATGTTGGGAGTGTATACCTGGAATTCAATATTTTACTTTTCCCTTTTGTTTTGGGCCATACTTGGCTGTACTTGGGGTTCACTCCTGGCAGTCAGATGTGGTGCGGGGGTTGGCTGCCTGTAAGGCAAGTGCCCTACCTAGTGTACTATCACTCTGGCCCCAGGAATTTGATATTTACTGTTCACTCCCGTGGTTGATTTGATGGCAAACAGAAGCACAGCCTGTGAATGGCACCTGCACACACCTGGGATTGTCTTTGCAACTCACGTCTCTCTTCTTTCTCTATCTAGGCAGATAGAATGTTGTGAAACAGCAGATGAATTTTACAGCACCATGGGGCGCCTTTCCCAGGAGATGCTAGAGAATGACCTCCTGGAAAGCCATGAACTCATGCAGGTGAGTGGGCAGCAGAGCCCCACCCCGCCGGGAAGCATGGGAACGGTACGGCTGGAACAGCAGCTGTCTGGGAAAGGGATCTGGCCAGCCTTCTGCTGTAGTTTTTCTGCCGACCAAGTCCACATATATTGTGATTAGAATCTAAGTGTTCACAAAGGAGGAGGAGGAGGAGGGGGAGGGGGGGGGGGAGGAAGGGAATCATAGGTATTTGCTATGAATTTTATTCCAATTCTTGCTTAAAAGTCATGGGGCTGGAGCTATAGTACAGTGGGTAGGACATTTGCCTTGCACGTGGCCGAACCCGGGTTCGATTTCCAGCATCCCATATGGTTCCCCTTCCAACATGGCCGACCCGAGTTCGATTCCTCCGCCCCTCTCGGAGAGCCCAGCATGCTACCGAGAGTATCTCGCCCGCACGGCAGAGCCTGGCAAGCTCCCCGTGATGTATTCGATATGCCAAACACAGTAACAACAAAGTCTCCAATGGAGACGTTACTGGGCCCGCTCGAGCAAATCGATGAACAACAGGAGGACAGTGACAGTGACAGTGTACAATATGATTGTCTTATACTTGCAATGATGCTACCCCATGCCCACCACCAAATTGCCAGGATTCCTTCACCATTCCTAACATCTCCCTTCTCTCCCCACCGCACCCCAGAACACCCAAATCACTGGTTTTCATTCAAATTGACTGCATCTTAAGGTTGTTTTCATTGATTCATTCATCTAATCCCTTGCTTTGTTTCTTTATTCTCTGCAAAGTGGTGAGATCATCTGGTGTTTGTCTTTTTCTTTCTGACTCACTGCACTTAGCATGTCTTCTTTCAGTTCTGTCCAAGTTGCAACAAACAGCAGGATTTCAACCTTTCTCACAGCTAAGTCATACTATATTATGCATATATGCCAAATACATATATACTGTACAGTTTCTCTAGTCATTCATTAGTGGTTGGGTATTTGGGTTGTTTCCAGATCTAGTCTATTATAAACAATGATGCAGTGTACTTAGATATGCATATGTTCTTTCAGATTAATGTTTATTGTTTCTAGGAGGATTTTTAGTGGAGCCTATAGGGTTTTCTATGTAGAATATCAAGTAATCTTCAAATAGTGGTAGTTTGACTTCTTCTCTACCAACTTAAGTTTCTTTGGTTTCTCTTTCTTGCCTAATTGCTGTGGTAAGGACTTCCAATATGGTGTTGAATGGTAGCAGTGAAGCATGGACATCCTTGTCTTATGCCTGGAGTTAAGGGAAAGACTTTACAGTTTTTCCCTATTAAAGATGATGTCACCTATGGGTTACTGTACAGGGCCTTTATAATTTTGAGCTAAGCTCCTTCAGTCCCATTTTGCTAAGGGTTTTCACTAATAATGGGTGTTGGATTTGTCTAATACTTCCCTGTGTCTATGGACAGGGGCTGATTATCTCATCTGGTATTTATTTTTTCCTGAATTATTTCACTTAGCATGACCTCCTCCAGTTCTGTATCTGTTGTAGCAAAAGACAAGATTTGGTCTTTTCTAAGAGTTTGTTTTTATTGCCTGTTGACTTCCTTCCTTCCTTCCTTCCTTCCTTCCTTCCTTCCTTCCATCCATCCTTTCTTCCTTCCTTTTTCCTTCCTTCCTCCCCTTAATTCTCCCATCTCCTTCCCTCACATGCCCTACCCTTCCCTCTGCTGAGTGCTGTTCTATTAAGTGCATGCACTGTGTCTTCTTTATGCACTCATCTCTTGCTGGGCCTTGGACTATTTCCAGGGGATATCAGCGTGCGCACGTCTTTCCAAATCAGTGTTTCTGTGTTCCAGGAGAGAGACTGTTGGTTGGATCATAGAGTAGATCAATTTTGAATCTATTGAGAAACTTCAACACTTTTTTTTTTATAGAGGTTGGAGCAGTTTACATTCCCCCCACACAGCAGTTGAAGATTCTTTCTTTACTGCTTCCCTGCCAGCACTGTTTGTTTCTGCCCTTCTTACTACAGGCCTTTTTCACGGGTGTGAGGTTCTTTCCACCTTTTTTCACATCTGTTGCATTCTCGGTGCAAGACTGTGTCTTATTTCCTCAGTGATCTTTAAGTTTTCTTAAGATCACGGACTACACTTTGCTTTAAATGTTAGCATTTTTCTTTTTACTAGTCAGTACACACATTAATTCATTAAGCAAATATCTCCTGATATTTGCTACAAACGGTTTTTGAAGGAGGGGGAAAATGGAGGTAGGGGAACAAAGGCAGCTCACAATTTTCTGCCTTATGAAGAACAGAAGAGGGCCAGAGAGATGCTAGAGAGGTAAAGCACCTGCCTCGCACATGGCCAACACGGACTGACCCTGGCACTGTAGTGGTCACCAAAGCATGACTGGGAGTGATCCTAGAGTCAGTCTTGAGCACCACCAGGTGGGAAAATGAGGTGGGATGGAGGGAGAGGGAGGAGAAAAGGACTGGGAAGGTGGATTAGAGTGCTGATGTTTACAACTTGCATGCACTGCGTCCGAAGTTCAGTTAGCAGCATTGCATTCTTCCCTGACAACCTCCCCCCCACCCCGCCCCTGCCCCTTTCCTGCCTCAGCATCATGGACTCTAGCCCTGGGTGCCCCTGCACTGTTCGACCTGGGCAGTGCCCCCATGGCTCTGCCACAGCACTGTCAGGCCATTCCAGCCAGGCTGAGTATTGCTGGGAGGGGGTGATGCTGTTTAGGAGCAGCCCCGCCCCCTGCCCAGAAATGCAGAAAAGTTTAGAGTTCATGAAGATAAGTTTCCTTTCAGGGGGGTTTCACTGGAGGTGCCCTTGGCTCTATTCCTCATCTCTCCAAAGGTGTTTCCCACTATCGCGCTACTGGGACCTATTTCATAGTCACAACTCTGCCCCCACTCAGTCCCAGTCACTGAGTTTGTGTTGCTCTGGCCCTGTCTCCGGGAAGGTGCGCCCACCCAACTGGGCTCTGCGTAGTCTCCTCACCCGCGTTCTCACCAGCCTCTTATCTCCGCCCTCTGTGGCACAGCCGCTTCCACATTCTTTCATGACTTTTGGTTTCCAGCATTGATTCAATGTGCATTGTGGATTCTGTTCTATTGCTTGGCATTTTTATGATGACTTCATCATATTTCTCTAATGAAGACCAATGAAGACTAGTGCTCCGCCCTCCCCTCCCTAACCCCTCCCCTCTCTGTATCTCCATGATGCTGAAAGTAAGTTCTCAATGAATGCACAGAATCATAAATTTGAGACAGTGATTTCCAAACTCAACTCCAAAGTGCAGCTATTTAGAAACAGGTGGTTCTCAGGGAAATAGCTTTTAAACATCCCTTAGAGAAAGACTGACTTAAAAGAATTTAAAGATCAGTTAACCTGTTCTGTCTTTTCCAAGGTGAAGCTGAGATATGGGGAATGAACATCTTGGTGGTTTCTTAGGTATTCTTTTTTTCTTTTATATTTCTCTTTCTTTCTTTCTTTCTTTCTTTCTTTCTTTCTTTCTTTCTTTCTTCCTCCCTCTTTCTTTCTTTCTTTCTTTCTTTCTTTCTTTCTTTCTTTCTTTCTTTCTTTCTTTCTTTCTTTCTTAATCCAGTCACCATGAGTTACAGTTACAAAGCTTTCATGATTGAGTTTCAGTTGTACAATGATCGAATAACCATCCCTCCATCAATGTGCATTTTCTACCACTTACATCTCCAGTATGCCTCCCACCACTCCCAGTGGACCCCATTCCCTGCCTCTGTGGAGGGACTTTCTTTCTTACTCTCTACTTTTGGGCATTATGGTTTGCACTATAGATACTGAGAGATCATCCTTTTTGGTCCTTTGTCTATTTTCAGCACACATCTCCCATACCGAGTGATCCTTCCAACCATCATTGACTTAAGCTCCATTCCAACTGTCTTCTCCCCCAACATGTGAGGCAGGCTTCCAAACCATGGAGCAATGCTCCTGGACCTTTGTCTCTACTGTCCTTGGTTGTTAGTCTCTCATGCTATCTTATATTCCACAAATGAGTGCAGTCATTTTATGTCCCTCTCTCTTTTTTTGTTTTGCTTTTTGGGTCACACCCAGCGTTGCTCAGGAGTTACTCCTGGCTCTGCACTCAGGAATTACTCCTGGTGGTGCTCGGGGGACCATATGGGATGCTGGGAATCGAACCCGAGTCAGCTGCATGCAAGGCAAATGCCCTACCCACTGTGCTATCCTCAAGTCCCTGTCCCTCTCTTTCTAATTTCATTTAACATGGTACTATTCACGTTCACCCACTTACAGCAAATTTAATGACTTCATCTTTCCTAACAGCTGCATAGTATTCCATTGTGTGGATATACCAAAGTTTCTTTAACCAAAGTTTCTTTAACCAGTTGTCTGTTCTCAGGCACTCATGTTGGTTCTAGGTTCTAGCTATTGTGAACAGTGCTGCAATAAACATACAGGTGCAGATGTCATTTCTACTATGCTTTTTTTGCACCTCTGGGATATATTCCCAGAAGTGGTATTGCTGGGTCATATGGAAGCTCAATTTCTAGTGTTTTGAAGAATGTCCATATTGTTTCCAAAAAGGCCAGACCAATCGGCATTCCGACCAATGAATGAGAGTCCCTTTCTCCTCACATCCATGCCAGCACTGGTTGTTCTTGTTCATTTTTTTTTATATGTACCAGTCTCTGTGGTATAAGATGATACCTCATTGTTGTTTTGATTGCATCTCCCTGATGATTAGTGAGTGGAGCGTTTTTTTCTACCCAGCTAGACTCTTATTCATACTTGAAGGAACAATACACAGATTCACAAAAAAATAACAAGTCAGGAACTTCATAGACTCTTAGGTGATCTTGATACAAATCTAAGACCCAGACCCAAACCTTCAACTGCTAGCATAGTGCTTTTTCCAGATACACTACTTTACCTTACTTAAAATATGTCCTTATAGGGCTTGGCATCCTCTTTAGAAGAATAATGTGAACAATAAGGGATTCCATTTTACATCAAGTTTAAGCAGTGTCAGAAAAGTAAGAAGAG